AGTTATTGTACTTGTCAATATTTTTATTATCGGCATTAAGGCTTGACAGTCGAAAATGATTGATTTATTGAAAGTCAAGTGCGAAAAATTTTAAATTAATTTTGAAATTTAGGCTTTCCGGAAATGCTTCACAATATGCAAAGTGGTATGGTAGGTTCAGAATGGGGTATGATATTTTGATAGTTGGTGGAAGGAAAATAATGACAGACTTATTCATATGCATATTTAGTGGTTGTGGTACGAGGGCTGCCTTTTAAGTTCTACGCCTAACAATGAAAACACAATGGTTAAACAGTGAAAATGGTTTAACTGTTATTCGAAGTATTCTGTATGAAGATCAATACATTTTTGCATTTAAATACACAGTCAATCTTCCATAACTCGAACTACTTTAACTCGAATTTTCTATATTCGAACTAAATAGAGAGCAAAGGGGCTTACTTACAAACACAAGAGGATTTTTTAATTCGTAGTCTCTATAAGTCGAACCTTTTCTTTGCAAAATGATACTTCGAGTTATGGAAGTTTGACTACATTTTTGAAACAGTTCGGCCACTCTAAGGTTGGTTTTTCCCAAATCTAGGCTTCGAATTTCTCTTTTGGTAATAAGAAGAAGTCATTGAGTGCCAAGTCGGGACTGTAAGGGACTGTATTACTCATCAATTGTAAGGCGTATTACCCAACAATTCGGTGTTTTGAGTGCACAAAAAGTCTTTTGTTTGAATTGATTTGTGGCATCTCGCATTGTCGTGGCGGAAGATGATCTTCCTTCTACGTTTCGTTTTCCTCAATTCTTCAAAGATTTTCGGCAAACATATGGTTATGTACCACTCAAAATTGATGTTCTACATTATTCTACATTATTTATTTAAGGAGAAAAACGTGCGATCAAACCAAGTGGATTTAGTATTATATTGTAATTTTATATATGAGTCAAATAAAAAAAAAATATTCGGATAGAAACTTCGTCTAGAAAGCAGAAAGGAAGTATATTTGAAATATATCTTAAGTTTTTCTCTTAATTTTTATCATCAAACATTAAATATTCTTCCTTCCTTCCGTTAATTTGTGCTTTTTTCTGTAATTTCATTTAGATTCCTTGCATTGTACTGTACGCTAACTAAATTTTATTTAGATTTTGTGTAAAAATATTGTAACCTTCAAAAAAAATGTACATCGAAATCAAAACATTTGTATTCCATTTCGGTGACTAAATATTCTCCAGTGCATAAAAGAGTGTCCTCACAATTACATGTAAGCGCTGTGTACCTTCCTTCAATGTCTGCATTCGTTTGTGCCGGTGAGAGGTTATGTTCCAGTATCCTTATTCCTTTTGCGCACAACTGAACGGAAGTTCAGTTTAGTTTGTGCAGTATTTTATTCGATTATTGTCTTCCGGGCACATTTTTTTTATTTATTTATTTATCATTATTACTACTGTTGAAATTCCATTTCACTGAATCCTTTGGGGTAAAAAAAAAAATATTTTTCGATAATAAATTGCATGTGATGTAGCAACATTTCAGCTCACAAATTCGCTGAGTAATTCGTGCTCCCCACCCACCTCCGCCGGCACACACTCGCTAGTGGAGATTTTTAATTGTGATTTATTTGCTGAAATTCTGTTAAAATTTAATTAAAATATGTGCATGAGATTGCATTGATTTTATTAAATAACTGATATAAATTTTTTAATTAAATAGAAATATAGTTAAATTTATTAATTGAATAGAGAGAGTTTTAGCTCTTATTCAAGGAAAAATCTAAAAATTGGACAACTATGTTTTAGTAAAGATATCTAAAGAGAAGGTTTACAATCTTAACTTTCTTTGTTTTAGGAAGAGAAGTCGCTACTGGCGCGATAGTCGAGGTAACCGTCAGGCTAAAGAGCTGGTTCACCCCTATAGTTGCAATAAGATATCCTTCTTCAGCAGAACAGAGTTGAGGTTGCTGGTGGGATATCTAATGGGCCACGTTATCATCTCAACAAAATGGACCTGTCTGAAGTGATAGATCGTAGACTCTGCTTAGAAGCAGAGGAGACAACCAGCCACATTCTATGTGACTGCCTAGCCTTGACTAGGCCAGGAGGAGGTCACTGTATCGAGACTGCTCTCCCCTTCCGACATTAGGACGTCGTCAACGGCCGACATTTTAGCCTTCATCCGGAAAGCGGAATGTCTTCTGTTCAGTTAGGGTCTGTTGAAGCACAAAAGACCAATCATGGTCGCAGTGCTCTGCTCAAATGGGAGCTAGTACCCCGTTCTTTCTCTATCTCTCTATCTCTTGTATTAGGAAATTAGTTCTAAATTTAATTGGAAGAAAAAGTTTGTTAAACTTCAAAGCTAATACTCATGCTAGACACATGTTAGCCAATACAAAATATTAATATATATAATATAGACAAAATTAATATAAAAAATGGAATACATATCAATAGTAGGTTAGGTTAGGGTACGAGATATCGACGAACCAAAGGATCCACTTAGATCTATTCGCCCATTTTGTTACCGTAATAAGAAAAACTCAGATATGTAAAAACCACCAAGCTAAAGATGCTATTTAGTGAACGGCAAAGCGGCGATTTCATTATGCTCTCCGCGTGAGGAAGAGAATGATGACAGCACAGGAATAATCCTTCTCGTGACAAAAATAATTCAAAGCCAGATTCAATTTTATAGCATGGTTTTCGAACCATTTATAATCTGTGAGCTAACCTACCACAAGACTGATAATAGAGTTTTTCATTGACTTCACAGAACTTCTCATTATGAGTATTGGATTTGTTTTAATGGAGCAACTAAGGAAACGGATGAAATATTGCAATTGATTAAGCTAGACCGGTACGTATGTTGACAGAAAGAAGCTGAGATAGTAAGCATCAAGCATATGATAGTTTGGAATCATTTTATAAGAGCAGGGTACACAAAGAAACTTGATATTTGGGTACCACATGAACTAACGCAAAGAAATTTGTTTGACCGAATTAACATAGCTAAAACGCAACGAAATCGAACTACTTTTAAATCGAATTTATACGCATAATAAAAAATGCATTAAATATGAGAATATCAATGTAAGTTATCAAGGCAAAGGACCGATCACTCTCCATAAATATCTGCAAAGTCTGGATTGATGACAAACACTAATAGGTATGTTGAGTGTTTGGTGGGATTAGAAAGGAATTATCTGTTATGAGTCACTTCAACTTTCAAATTGTATCCCACTATGACAATATTAGGCTACATATTCAGTTGACGATTCGAAAAACATTGACAGGACCACCTTGGGAAATTTTGATGCATTTAGCGTATAACTCAGACTTTGGGCTATTTGCAATCCATTTGTTTTGATTTCCATATAAACTTTTTAATGATAAAAAATTGGTCAATTCAAGGAGGGCTGAAAATAATTTGATCTTCATTTGAAAAACTTCGCTGACAAACCACAAAAGTTTGATGGACCGACAAGTCATAAATAATAATGGTTCATATATATTAAATTAAGTTGATTAAAAATAACTTTCAGTAAAGAGCATTTTTGTTCAAGCATCTACCAATAAACGGTGAATACCTTTTATACCACCTAATATATCCATATAAAATAGATGTGTGTTGGATTTTAAAGATGTGTGTTGGATTCAGTTTTGACATTTACTTCTAAGCAAAACAGTTTTGACAAACGTGAAGAGCCAGAGTTGGGCTTTTCAGCTTGACAAAATGTTTCGAAATTTCTCTCTTGCTCTCCAACACTCAAATAGTCAACTTACATTAAAAGTAACAACAACTTCAAGTTTGATGTGACCATGACTGTCTGCATAACATAGTCCCTACTTAAAATTTGAAACAACTTTTTTAAAATTAAATGTTTTTTTTTAAATCAAATTTATTTTAACAAGCAATCGTTGAGAGTATTGAATATTTATATGTTTAATATGAAAATAATATTTTCATTTATTTTTTATTTTTATACGATAAGTTTCACATTATATGATTCCGGAAATCATGACTAAAGCTACGAATAATAAATTATCTCCTAAAAGTACTAAATACAAGATTCGTAAATCTGCAATAAGACCAGTAATCAAACGAGGTCATCATAAATTTCCATTAAAGAATTATAAAAAAATTAAGAATGGAATTGGTTGTGCTCCAAAGGCTGTGAAATCCGGATTTTTTAACACAATGTATCAGACTGTTTCAAATTTTTTTCAAAATGTATTAGCAGGCGAAGATAAAGTAGACTCTAAAGGTAATATTATCGGAACTCCCGAAGAATTTAATGGTGAGAGAGTTGAGAACTGTGAGAAGGAAGGGGATTCCGTTGACGACCGCGCTTATCAAGCAAAAACAGTTAAACAGAAAAAGAAGTACCGTTCTGTCAAGTCTGGCAACAAAAAAATTAAGAAAATCGACTACAAGTTTAAGTCTGCGGTTAGAAGTGCTAAAAAAAAGTGTGTTAAATCCAAATTAACCCCGACTGATATGGAAGCGGAAGAGGAATCAGATGAAACAAATGTATGCACTTGCCAACCGAAATCGAAAAAACTAAAAGGAAAATATGGATTAAAACCACAGCGCAAGAGCTTAAAGGCTGTAAAGAAGGAAGTAGTGGAAGCAGAATGTGAGAAGAAAATTTTACGATCAGGCAAAACTTATTAGGATGGGTAGAGAGTGACATGTGAGAGATGCGAGATGCTTGTTGGGGACGGACTAAATTTTAAATTTTAGACCAATTCTTATTACACTATTTTTGACGAGTTTAGATTCTGTGGAAGGTGAGATCAAGAGCATGTTTGATAAAAATTTAAAAGAAAGGAAAAATTTTTACGAACTGTCATTATCTATTTTGAATAACTTTTTGGGATAGAAAAAAATAAAAACAAATTTTTATTATAATTTTTGTTTTTTTATTCACAATTTATTTCTTTGCTGTGTAAAGCAATAAGTAATTCCTTATTTTTAAACGTTTATATTATACATATTTTGTAAAACTTATATAGTTTTATATAAGTCGGAATTAAAAAGATTTTCATTACTTTATGAAAAACTAATGCCTTCTTTTCTACCTGTTTGATAGTGTGAGAATCTGCTTTTTAGTTTATAAATTTATTTTTTTAATCCATATTGAAATTTGCTTATAATATATAAAGTTTTTATAATACTCGTATTTTCTGCAATTTGTTTTGGTTATCTTATTTATCGCATGATACAGAAATGATAAAATTCTTCTAGTATGCGAAATATAATCGGTAACACAGTTTTAAGTTAACATATGATTTTTCGGAAAAGTAGCAACTACGACTTCACTACACCCAAAAGTATACTTTAATTTTATAACTTTTTAAATATTTCAAGAGTAAGAAGTTGAGTTATACATTTTTTGGTCCTGATTTGGAGAACATAATATAAGTTATTAATATAAAAAGCGGACATGCGTTTATTTCGAAAGCCAATGGAGACTTTTCCAGACAAACAAAGTTGATGTCTTGCTTGCCTAAGTATGCCGTTAATAAAACTAAGCGAGGGGTAGATTTTAAGAGGCCATGGGTGTTAATTTATAAATCAGGCACTTATTCTTATTCAAGGGATTAAAAATTTAGCATAGAGTGTAAATTTTTCATAATGTATTTCTTGATATTTCTTAATAATCAATCACGTAGGCTGGGAAAACGGAGAGAATTTGAAGGGCTAAAACCACCCGACATGATTTGAGGGACTATATGCCTAATCATATATATATATT